TCGATATGTATGGCAATAATGTTCAAAGAATTTCGCTCGGTTTTTCCTTCCCTACATGGTAAAGAATGCAAACGAATGAAAATTGGCTGTTATTTAAAGGCAATCAGAAACTTTTACACCTCAAAATAGAGTAGAGCTTCTGATAATTAGTTGCTATATCCGTGCATGGATAAGATCTCTTGCTGTGCAGTTAATTTACGGCAACCATGCATTGCAACATCGTACCTATAAACTTGGACTCCACTACAAAAATTTTCTATCTAACAAATGCCCCGAAAATTTCGGTTTGCATAATCCATAATTCATCAATCATGACTGAAAATATTTTCTCGCAGCGTCAAGATGTTTGCGTCTGTAAGAGCACAAATCAAACCATTTTCTCGGGAAAATTTGCTCTGTTGTCACAAAGCAAGATCATCCTCAAGCTCGTGGTTCGTTTTTCACCTCATGGTTAGCCAGCATCAGTGCATAATTCTTCAATTCAGTGCATCAATGAACAACTTCTCACTCATTCTGTTTTTCCGCATGGCTTCATTGCAAAGAATAAATGAAGTGATGTGTTAAAATCTGCACGGTTAAGCGTTGTAATGAGAGCCAAATTCACCGGAGCAATTTTTTTCATTTTTTTCCGGTGCTTTTCATCTCGTGTGTTCTGTTAATTATATACTGTTCATTTGTCCGAGTAAATAAACGCTACATTGAAACTAAAATAAATTTTGTTATTTGATTGACAAAGTATGATGATTTCTTCAATAATCACTACCACGACGTTCCATTACTAAATCACGTTCAAGATCTGCGCTGAAGGCAGTCCAATACTCGCGGGCGCATCACACAACATTGAAGTGACAGGCTCCACCGCTATACACAAGCACGAATAATTTTATCGGATTCCTTTACAAAAGATAAGCCGAATTACACCACATGCCGGCCCAACTGGGGCCTTTGCCCTGCGAAAACGATGAAAGTCTCCGATATTTCAAACTTGCACCGGTGGCATCCAATGCAAGTTGCTAGCTGCATGGAGCGACAGGCAGGCTTATTTAATAAAATGAACTAGTCGAACGAGCTGGCCTGGTGACGCTTAACTAATAAATATTTATGAGGAGAGTGAGCCTCGAAACTGAACGAAAATTGAGGAGAAGTCACAATGCTTGACTACTGGTCTTTTTGTAGCCACAGTTGTGAGGATGTTTGGGTTATGAGCACTAGCAGGTGAACCTGGCATGACTTATTATTGATAATCTGTAAGCTGCCTTCAGAAGTCATATATCATTTTTCTGTTTCACACGGACAAATTTCATTACACAGAACACTCGCCTCGTTAACTAATTTTTTTACGCGAAATTTGATAACCACAGTTAGCATAAATATTGTGCATGGCGGCCAAAAAAAATATATAATCAGATGAATGAGCCTTTAAATTATCATCTTAAGCTTTAGCTAAGTAAATGAATACGTCATGAATATGGATGAATAATGATAAATTATTGAATAATGACTAAGATTTATATCACAACAAACGCAAGTCCCTATGAACAGAGCAGCCAACACACGCGGCTCAATATACCGCTTCTGCTGTCACCATGCAGATTTAAAGAACAGATCAGCACCAACCCGCACCGCGGCAGCCCTCCGAGCGCTTAGTTGGACCAGGCACAACCAAAGGGAACGAGGACAAGGCAAACCTATCAATGGAACGAGGATAGTGTATAACTGAAGGTAACGAGGACAAGGCAAGGGAACAAGGACAAGGCAACTGAAGGGAACAAGGACAAGGCAACTGAAGGGAACAAGGACAAGGCAACTGATGGGAACAAGGACAAGGCAACTGAAGGGAACAAGGACAAGGCAACTGGAGGGAACAAGGACAAGGCATTAAGGGAACAAGGACAAGGCAACTGAAGGGAACCAGGACAATAAGGCATTAAGGGAATAAGGACAAGGCAACTGTTAAGGGAACAAGGACAAGGCAACTGAAGGTAACAAGGACAAGGCAACTGAAGGGAACAAGGACAAGGCAACTGATGGGAACAAGGACAAGGCAACTGATGGGAACAAGGACAAGGCAACTGAAGGGAACCAGGACAATAAGGCATTAAGGGAATAAGGACAAGGCAACTGTTAAGGGAACAAGGACAAGACAACTGAAGGTAACAAGGACAAGGCAACTGAAGGGAACAAGGACAAGGCAACTGAAGGGAACAAGGACAAGGCAACTGAAGGGAACAAGAACAAGACATTAATGAAGGGAATTTCTCGCGGAACCATGTCACCGCACTTGCGAGACTCGAAGCTTAGGTAGATTGACAGGTAGGAGAGAGCGGTAGACCTGTTTCGCTGAATTTCTATAACTACGATTATAAAAAAAAGTTGTGCCATCAAGAGCGCCTCCTAATTAAAACCCTAGCATCCTGATGTTATCCAAAAAGAAGTCCGCGTCAAAAATTGTTCGGACATAATAAGTAGCCCGAAATATTCCAACAATGATAATCTACCAAATTGTTTATACGAAAATAATATTTAACTAGCATTTCTCGACTAGAAGCATCAGCATCGGTATTGGTCTCGTATCATATAGAAGATACTGAAAGCTACACAACTAAAAAATAACATTTGACTTTGGCCAGTTTCGGCACCGCGCTCGCTCTTGCATCAAACACCTCTATCTGCAGCACGAATTTTTTGTGCATGCACCTGAAGGCCACCCAGAAATAAATAAAATAATTCAGCCTTGCGCTGCGCTTTCATGCAGCCGCTGCTCGCAATGCGCAGCAATCGGAGCAGCTTTATTGAGCGCGCTTTATGACGCGGCTGGCCGTTAGCGATATCAAGAGACTTCTTTAAATTCGGCGCTAAAATTGTCATCCAAATGAAACTATGCATATGAGGTTGGTTGCTAAGATTATATGCACCGAGGGAAGCCAAATATTAGTCGTGAATGGCATTTTACTAAACAAATACCAACGTAGACAACCCATGCTAGATATTACTATAAGTAAATGAAGAACTCCTATTTAGCTCCTTTACATACGTGTTGTTTCTTCGAGTACTTGAGACATTGGATGTTCTGGGATTAAATTATCTGGAATTACGTAATTACAGAAGTGGGATTGTCTGTTCTGCGAACAGTCTTACAAACGTGCTGGGCTTCATTCATAGTTAGAATTATACTCAACGTTTATACATATTTATTAACTTATTTTATTTATACTATATATTATATTATAATCTTATATTCATACAAAAATATGGCACCATCTCTTACGATAAATGATGATTGATTAGATTAAAACAGTAACAGAGATCCTGAATGAACTGAGTGTTTTGAAGAGATTTGGGTCAATCAAAATAAATATAGTTTAACCGTGGATGAGCATAATGATAGGAGCATAATTATTGTCATTGCAATATAGCAAAACCCAGGACTTTAAATGAATATAAATGCCTGAAAATGTCTCGGTTTAGACTAATAAGACAAGCTTTCTTATTAGGAAGCTTGAGAAGGCACCAGATCGATGGGGTGACGCGCTAGTGCTGCAGTATGGGGCACTATATCAGTTTTTATCCCGCGAGCACGCAGCTCTGTAGGGGAGAACTCATTGTTTGGAATCATGAATTGCTCACTTCGACTAGAAGTAACAAAATTTAAATATAAATAGGCATGAATTTTAGAGATGATACATTTTCATTATCAATGAAAGATTTCGTGGGTAGTGAGGGGTCTGCGTGATGGTAAACAAGAGGCCGCACGTCTGTGGCATACGCCTATCTATGAATGTATTTAGATGAAGATCGAGAGGGTCGAATACATATTGCATTTCATAATCTCATTCCCAAAATTTAAACAAGAACTGCCCTCGAAAAGAACAACTTGTTCTCTCAACAAAATTAAAATAATACGAACGGGAAACTTGCGTTGGTTATCTAGATTACAAACATGTATACATCTCGATTACTTAAATATATATAGCAGGGGTTTTTGCGCGTGTTCAAGAGAGGGAAGATGGAGCGCGCAATGCGCCAGCCAACACAGCAGCGCGATCTGTTATCTGCGCTGCACTTGAGACCGATCACTGCGATGTCTTTGCACGACCAACGCGCTATAATTATTCAGAAGTTTTCTTCATCATATCTGCCAAAAGCCTCTTTAATGAACTGTGCATACTTAGAAATGAAAATTTGCGACGTCAGGAATAAGCTTATTCTCTCTAATTTTCAAGGTATGCGCGAAAACAGAATATATTGAAGAAGGAGTTATCATGCAATGATATTTAAAGCACAGAAATGTTTCAACTTAAACTCGTATATCAACAATAAATCATAAGATGAAATCTTTTCTAACTCAAACAAATTAAAAGTGATTTCATAATTTATTAATATTTGATGTAGTATGATTATATATTACTTGAAATCGAAAATTCCCATACATGCTGTCCTGAACTACTACTTCTCGTCTCGAACATAGTTTCGTTCGCGATCAATATAGGCAGCTCATTTATCAGCTGTTAAATGCGATACCTGGTATTCAGAAATACGTCTAATATCAAATTAAATATTTTCCCTTATAAGGGAAAATATTTAATTTGATCTGTATGAAGTCATTTATTTAGCTTACGAAGTAGGCCCCAGGAAGTGTTGCCAAGAAGCTTGGGTGCAATATATATGCAGTTTGAAGGGTGGCCGTATTTATACTACACGAGCAGGCAGAGATCGCCAAAAAGGCTATAGATATGACAAGATATTAAACACGGTGCACTGAATTGCCCAACATATGCATAGGACTTTAATTCGTGAAATTCTGCTGATAACTGTAAAATTTACTGGCCTTTGAAGCACTCCAGCTCCTATATAATCACTTAATTGAGCAGGGACAAAGTGAACCACACTGTAAAAAGAGGCTGTCATCAACGTTATAATGCGTGCATTGTAGCAAGCAAAGCAAATTTTCAATCATGTAATTTTTCATCGCAACGAAAAACACAAGATGCGAAGGCGCAATGTTCAGGCATCTCTCCACCACCAACCAAGCTGGTGAGTGAGATTGAAAATTTCGCCCATGGAGAAGCTTACTAAACATGAAGGAATAAACCAAAATAATGTTCATGTTTCGTTTGCATGGGAATTGTGGGAATGTCCCACAATTCTTACGCATTCAATACGGCATATCCACTGAGTACATTTATAATATGTCTCGCACCTCAGTCACGAGCAGCGATCCACATGGCACCTCAGTCACGAACAACGATCCAAATGGCACCTCAGTCACGAGCAACGATCCACATGGCACCTCAGTCACGTGCAGCGATCCACATGGCACCTCAGTCACGTGCAACGATCCACATGGCACCTCAGTCACGAGCAACGATCCACATGGCACCTCAGTCACGAGCAGCGATCCACATGGCACCTCAGTCACGAGCAACGATCCACATGACGATCCACATGGCACCTCAGTCACGTGCAACGATCCACATGGCACCTCAGTCACGTGCAGCGATCCACATGGCACCTCAGTCACGTGCAACGATCCACATGGCACCTCAGTCACGTGCAACGATCCACATTGCACCTCAGTCACGTGCAACGATCCACATGGCACCTCAGTCACGTGCAACGACCCACATGGCACCTCAGTCACGGGCAACAATCCTGAAATGTCTGCCGGGGCAACGTTAACAAAAATTCCGCTTTTTTCTCCGGCAATAAAATTTCTATGCTCGCCGCCATAAAAAAGGAACAAACAAACAGGTGAGATTAATTTAATTATTCACAGAACGAACGGGAGGACCAAAACGCGTTTATTCCTGCAGCGGCAGCTGTTGAGGTTCGATGTCGAAATCTCCTAATGAAGTCCAGAAAATATCTGCCCGGCTGATTGGATGGAAGTAAAGTTCACGTTTCGTTTCACGTCGCCCCAGTAAAAGTTTAAGCATTTTATATCGGAGCTTCGTCGCTGACAGCGGGCAAGTAGACAATGGTAAATTCGGTGACTTCTTAGAACACCGTTACCACTGAATAAAATAAATTACACAATTGAAGTATAGCGTTCACTTTTTTAAACATGAAACAAATTGTTTTATTTGAATCGATTTTTTATTCGAGTTTTTTTCGACGAAATTTAAGGAAAATGTATGAACGTGACGATTTATTTACTTCCGAACCGACAAAAAATATAAGCACCCAATGAAATTTTGATAACTTTCTACGAATATTATGTGATAAAAGCAGCAATTACCGGCTCAATTAATACGAAGACAAACCATCATGAACTTTTTCGTCGCATAAACCTTTTTCTGGCATCGTATATAGAGGACAGGTGTACAGGTGCACCAGGTGACAGGTGCATCGTATACACAGGAGCTCCTAGACAAATTACGGAACGCAACAATTGATAATTCAATCCTGTTGAACAAAATAATAGCAAAAATATGAATAGACCTAAATAACTCATCACATTTCCCGATACATTCATGAACTCCCAATTAATACCAACTTTTACAAGTAAATTAGATTATTACCGACACCCTAATAATGTTGTGGCTCGATTATTTGGAGAGCAATTCACAGACGCCCCTCCGAGCCGACGTTTGTTAAATTAAACGGTCGCTCTTAATGGGGCGGTTGAGTGTAAATCAATTGGGTTTGTTATAGGAACGTTGGGTGACGTTACGAAACGACGGCCATGAATTACGTTAAATCGTTAAACCCTCCGTGATAGATGGCCGTCAGGTATCATAAGAGGGAGCCAAAAACTTGTACATCCTAAACACTGTTAGGACACCAACAAAATAAGATGGAATGACCCATATATATTGTATCTTTCAGTTCAGAGCGTCAGTCGAACGTTTCACTTCAAACAAGATAATTAATTCAACATAAGTGATCGGTTGGCGTCACCGACAATCCAATATAAGTCTGTTTCTTTAACAATTTGAAGTTATTTAGTAAAATATGCAACAAATCTCTCTGAATTGGCGATGGAATTATTGAACACCTGAGCTGAAAGATATCTGTGTGTGTATCCTCGTAAATATTGTTCAAACTAATCACTTTTTTTGCGGAAACATTCCTGCTCAGTATATAGTAAGATACACATTATAGTACATAACTTGCACAACATACAGTAGTCTGCACAGTACACAGTAACCTGCACAGTATAATAACCTGTACATATAATATAAGAGAGAAGCATAAAGCGGTTCAGAGTAGAACGCCACTAATATTGTCGTCTTGTGAGGAGGTCGTCCGAATTACTGCCACGCTTAGAAATCGCGGTGCGCCTCTATACCAAACCACAGAGAACACGTACTTATATATACATTTCCGATTCATTTTTCTATTAGATTGAATAGCCAACCGACAAGTTTGCGCATACATTTTTTCGGTTTGCTCTGTTAACTTACCTACACTCATATACTTCGATCTGCAACGATAAACCCACAGTCGATTGTTCGCCATGCATCTGCATAGATTGTTTAGGGAAACTCGACTTTCAAATATTCGAGTGGTCGGAACTTCCGCGTTATGCAGTAACTCACATTAATCGACATCGTTGCCCACATTGGTGATTGACTGGGTAGCATCATGAGTCACCTCGAGACACACGTCGAACTGTTTAGCAGCAGAGCAAATTCTTGATTCTGCATAGTCCGCAGTTTTTATATCTTATTTTTAATTGGTGCTTATTTGGATTTATTTGGTATGCTGTTATCTCAATGTTTGTAATTTAATTATATTGATATTCCTTCATCTGCCTTTCGTGCAGAACAGAGTCACTCCGTTCTTCCCCGCCTCTCCCGATATAACGCCAGACGATTTCTCGTTTATTTTCTTAATTCCTCGGGGGTTGATTCAAAATTAAAAGATAGTTCGAGCTCTTTCATGTAGCATAGATAAAATTCTTGCACCTCTTACGTGGGCTCTTTCTAATAAACAAATAATTTCATTCAAACCACCACAATTATTCTCATTGGCTGGGCTGCATGCAGGGCAGGTTTACCGCACGCGCGGTCACGGCAGTCACGCGCTGCGTTGCGGCAGTAATGGAGCAGAGTTGACTTAGCAGTGGCGATGTCGACAGCTCATCAGCAAACAGGTTGCAATGTTTGCCAACGATTGAGGTAGCAAACGCTTACATGCAAGCAGAATATTCCAGTCGGCAGGCTGACTTGAGCTCACACAGAATCTTAAAGGACACTGCACCTGAAGGTACGGAACGCTTTAAAAACGGAAAACTATGGAAGTTTTCACTGTATTTGTGCATCAAAAGAAAATTTCAGTTCACTAAGTACCGATCAATAAACCATTAAAAATTTAGAGAACTGTACTGCACACCATTCAGTCAACAGTGCACTGCAATCAGTCGACAGTGCACACCATTCAGTGAAAAGAGCACAGCAATGCTGTTGAACAAACATTAAAAAAAATCACTTTTGATATTCAGGCCCGAGAAAGTAGAAGGCCACAGAAGTTATACAGAACGCAGCTCCAGTATCCAGCGTCAGGCCAAAAACAGGAGTACCTACGCCCGGAATGCAGAAGATGGAACAATGCAATAAAGAGTGAGCCACAAATCTCGTCTAGAGCCTGGCTGCATCGCTACCTTATATTCCTGCAAACAAAACAGGAAATTCTGGTCTAGAGGAGCAGAGCACACGACTGGCGAGGCAGGGCTGTGTATAGCCGGCCAATGGTCGGCCGTGCCTAACGTGAGGTATTGCTGTCAAAATCAAGCTCAAGCTGCAACAAAAAATTTGAAGATTATCGCGTACTTACAGGTTTTAGGGGCAAAAGTCACCGAGTTAGAGTGGAACTCTTAAATTCAAAGTGTTTTAACTGCTATTAATTGTTTGTTGAAAACATTCATTAAGTCAGTGTGTGTTATGCGCACACTCCATTCCCGAAATCTATCTATACACTTTCTTGAAATTTATCTATTCTAGTCAATCCTCCAGGTTTTTTACAGTAGAAATTGCGTTCCACAGCGTGCGTATACGAAGTGCACATGATACTTGTCAAAATCAAACCGTTTTATCTACAATGAAGCTATCGACTTCTGTGTCCGTTATTTTCATTGTCGTTGGTAATTCTGTTACTTCAACGCTTAAAATCTGCCTTATTGACGTAATCTCTGCACTGAACTATTATTTCTGCTATTTTGAAGATCCCTATACTCTGGCTGATGGATCGCAGTCCAAGCATTTTTTATTCTTTTCCAAGCCCATAATCGAATATGTGGTCAAGAAGCTGGTATAATGGAGAGAAGAATATTTTCAAGGTGGCCAAGGTATGCGTTTTGTTACAGAACTATTAAGATTATCGTGCACTCCAGTCAATGTTTATTATCACTCCAGTCAATGATAATCTGATAATCGTCTGAACTGTACTTCTTGTGTTTCCATCAATTTTGTTGTTTCATATAAGTGCTTGACACCACTTTGAACGTATGGCTCTAATCTTGAATTGCAATATTATATAAAATAACATTAAGAATTGAGCAGGTGCGATTAGATCTTGAAAAAGATCATTACTGCTAACATACCGATGGAATCTTCAGCTGGCTGTAGTCAGCCGCCTGGCGTGATTCTAGCACTGCATGATGATCGTTTTGTAAGATCCTCGTTTTGTAAGATACCTAGCCACGTGAAACCGCAAAAAACTCAAGTATTTATTTTTGGTCAGTGATCGAATGTTTCGATGGATATGATGCGAAATTCAATTGGTCTGAAGGGGATAAGAGCATTATTTTTGCACTTTTTAAAATTCATTCACGTTGCATCACCCGATGAAGCTCCGAGGTCCCGAAGTTTTAAAATACAAATAATTATATAGGTGAGGGGGAGGTAATCCATTTATTTGAATCATATAACTGAATCAATTAAGTGGTATCTCATTTGTATCTTCAATACTATTCGTTTCTACGACAATTCAATTCTTTTTTTTTCTCCTGGATCATTAAATTCAAAACAAATCCTCATCATCGACATTTCTGCCAGAAGAAATTCGTAATCAGAATTTGCTTTACTCGCAACACTCGATGATTTATATCACTATCATATATTATATCATATAGGTATCATATTATATATCACAATCATTATATTATTTATAATGATTTAATTTTAATTTATATTTTCCCATCCTAAAGATGGAGGCGTCGTTAATTCTTCATGACGTCCTTTTCATTTCACTCTTCTCATTTAAGTTCTATAGATTCGTACAAATTTTGTGGTTAAATATTAATTTTTTATCACTTCTTTGTTCAAGTAAGAATGCTACGCGTTCAATGTCAAGAACTTTCATAATCTTTCAAAAATTTCAGGAATCAAAAGAAAGACACTTGCAAAATCAAATTTTTCTGAATCCTCCGAAAAGATACTCACTTTATCTGTGTTACTCAGTACTTTGACATGATTCGTGTAGTTAACTAATAGTTTTAAATATTAGTCATATTAATTTTTCAATAATGTAATGTATAATTTCAATAATCTACTATCTATAATCTTCAATATACAGAAGATTATAAATAGTTATATACTATCTATATAATTTCAATAATCTCCTATTGATGGCTCTTAAACACCAGTATTTATTGTCGGTATATTGCATCTGTAAAACTTCACATAAAAAGATCTTCATGTGTAGGTAATTGTTTGTCACTCGAGTCACACACACGGTTGAAAAGTATTTATTCCTTTGCCTTGCGCGTATAGAAGTAGCCTTGTGAAAT